AAAAGAAGCAATATATATTAGTATATATACTATAAACAGTTATCAAACAAACAGGCCACACTGCAAGTTAACAACAAACTCTTTCTTTACTTGGTCCTATTGACAGATTGCATTAATTAAAAACTCTTTTATGGTGTCACATTGGCTAAATGGACCATATCCTGGCAAAGCTAGCAGCCATCAAGCCATCATAAATTCGCAATGAAAACCAGCTTAATGCTTGCTCACCTTCAGCAACGCCTCTTGTGCCGCATGTCGCTGTTAGAAGGAAAAAAACCGAAAACCACAATTATGAAATCAAAATGCGGTATCTGTGTGCTTTCAACAAACCACTTGTACACTACTGATTAGTGAGGTGAATTGTCACTTCACATTAATCCTTGAAGTAAAGTAATTAAATAGAAAATGTTTGAGTCGGAGATATATTTGAAAAATGCAGAAAAACGACGGATTTTTATTTTGTCAAACGTCATACGAGACACGATGAATTTACCAAGTAGCAGGATGGTGATTGCAAGTGCTACGAAGTAAGTCCTGTTCATGGTGGCCTTCTCTTTGCAAGGTGCTGCGACGATTCCAAGGCAGTTCGAGACTTCCCTTTATATAGATTTCTTATAAGTTGTCACCAGACAGCGTCCCTGAATAAATTGAACGTAGCCAAACGTTCCAATCTGGTTTGTATTACTAGTGGGGCGTCACTGCAGCTAGTTCAAACCATGGCCACTGCAGAGCTACAGAAGCGGGAGGTAACGCGCAACTTCTGTGCTCATCCAATGGAAGCTTGCAATCGGTGGGGCGCGTGTATGACGAAGTCACGAACCGGATAGCAATCACGAGAATGTGATGTCAAAAAGAAGGGAAAAGAGGTCACGTGATTGTGTTGACATGTAATCGGAAATTTTACCTCCGGGTGCAACATAAACGCAGCAAACTTCAAAAACTGATTACCGCCGGCCTCGACTTTGCCCGATTGTAGATAATTATAATGTGGCAATCGAGAATGTACCTAACCCACGGCACCATTGGATATTTTTCCCTTTGGAATTTTCACAGGAGAGATGATAAAAACTTACAGTGTAAAAATAAGTTGACGACAGCATTGTTTATTCAGCTGTAGCAATGACAAATTGAGCCCTCTCTGGAACAGAATGCTTTATACCACAGTGAGGCACTGGGACGGTGCTGTTGTTTGATGATTACAAGGGAGAATATTTACCTGCTAAGTGTAATCAGTCGCTCAGCCGCTGATAAAGCAACATTGAAACATCGATGGAGCGAACTCAGGACGATGAAAACTAGGTAAATGTGATCAAGAATCTTGGTTGCAGCTGTGTAAGCAAACTGTGCATGAGCGGTGTGGCGATAACTGAAGATAGCTTTAGAGTGAGCGAAAGGCGGCGATTTTCGAGGTAAATTGCAAAAAAAGGAGTCAGCTAGTTGACAACACTTAGGATATGATAGCATACTCTTGGCGTTCATTTTAAAGTTTAAATAGTTTAATAGTTCTTTATATGGCACAGTTCTATTTTTATTCTTTGCATTTGAACTACAAGTAGCTGTACTCAGTGACTCTTTATGTTCCCGTTTAGAGATTTTTCATGTTCAAGTATATATCAGTCACCAAACTTTTCGGACAGTGGGGTCAGTTTGTAGCAAAAGCGCAAATGCCGCAATCGAAATAAAGAAGTTATTTTGGTACTTTTTTAAGAAGCCGGATCTGCACTGAACAGTCCATACATGCCCCTCGTTGAGAGTTCGACTGCGAAATTAACGCCCCAAGAGGGCGCAATAGGGATTAACAGTCTAGTACACAGACTCAAGTACACACATTATAAGAGAGACGTTTACTGGTAGCCTGGCCCGGCTCAACCACTCAATTACGTCTTTGCGTTGCCAATGACACTGCGACAAAACACGTACTATATATGATGATGCATGCAACGCGTTTATTTGTATNTGTACGAAATTATCGATTTGTTTGTGGGAAGCGGATCCTCTTTTCTTTTCTGAACCAAAGTCATTGTGAAGTCATCAGTTTATGGAGTAAGGCGATTGGCATGCATCTTCACAGGATAACCGTGGATTTCAAGATGTGGAAATATTAAACGGGATCGGGAAATGGGGAATTGAAGACGTATTTTGAAAGGGAAGAACAGCTGGAGCAGAGCAAGACATGAAAGATTGCGATCTCGGTGAGTGATTTTCCTCCATGTCAACCTCGCATGTCATGCTAACGTTAACTAAGTTAGTGCGTGTAGATGCAATGGAGTGATGTGTGAGGATTCTCACTCATGACACTTAGCCTCTTATAGTTTCCCAGGAGGTGCACTTGGTAGGGCCGGGGAGGCTAAAAAATAGGGGTTTTTTTGTTTTGTTTTGAAGTTGTCTTGGAAGTTGGAGAGAATGTCAAGAGAAACATTTTAGATATCACAATCAGTTAGGATTCCATTGAGCTCTTCAAAGCTCACGAAACTGATTTGAAGAAGGGATGTTTCAAGATGTTTTTTGGATATTTTTGTGTAATACAGAGCAAACTGTAATCAATCACCGTGATCACAATTTTCTCTTAGGAAAATAAGAACAGCAGCCCTCAATAGCATGTCCGCGTACTCTTGGTATCATTAGACCTACACATTGGTATGTTGTCCCTTTCTGACTTTGAGTCTTGAACGACAAATGCCCCACAGACAGATTTACAACTCTAAATTTCTAGGGAAACTCGGTAATATAAATGGGTGTCAGTCACTTTGCCCTGTTTTCACTTCGCCTCATGTCACTTCGGCCCTAAGCATTTAGCCTCATTACCATTTCACCCTATCCCCACTTCCCCCATTTCCACTTTGCCCAAGCCATGCTTCAATGTGTTTGTTTCTTCAGATTTTATCACAGTTTCTCCTGTAGTCTTCTTTTGATCCCCGTGCTGAGACTGAATAAAAGTAATTAACTGGCAACATTCCAGAAAAAAAATCACCGAAATTCTCTGATGTGACTTAAACCCTTGATCTTGAACTTAATGGTTACATGTATGTTTTTGGTTATACATGTAGGACAGGCCTCAAATTAGTACTAGCCCAGCGTACAAATTCTAGCTAAAAATGCTCTGGGCTACCTATACTTGGTTCCTTGGTTGCTGGGTAGGCTAGTGAAAAATTGTTAAAACTTAGATCAAAATAAATACATGTATTCAATATAAATCAATATCAATACAAATATCAGAAAGTGAGCAAAATATGGCAATTTTTGCCTAACGTAAGCAGCCCAAATGAAGGAAAAGATGGAGCAAAGAAGTGATTTTGTTCCCGACTCCATTACCAGTGAATCAAGTGATACAGTGTATTTAACTAATATACATGCCTCTTTATTTATGCCATCAGCCTTTTATTTTCCGAAATGTCAAATTCTTTATTGCTGAACTGATAACAAATTTTAAGTTTTTTTAATTTTGTATATAAGGGCTAGTAAAACTCTAAAACGGGCTAGTAAAATATCCAGTTAACGAGCCCAGTGGGCTAGCCAAGAAAAAAAGTTGGCGCAAGGCCTGTAAGAACAATCTCTATATTCAATGTAACCCCCAAAAACCTGCATTACAGGAACCTACGAGAATGAATACACATTGCATTGGCATTATTTTACAGATACAAAGGGTCATTGAAAACTGCCAGAACCAAGATTGACGGTGCCTATGATGGAGATTGAAAGGCCCGGCAACCCCCACCCTCCCCTGAAGGACCGTTCGGACTCCGTCAGCTCCATCGATCGAGAACTGGACTGGTTGATTGGGTCAGAGAATGAGGAAAACAACGACGCGGTGGAGGTGAGAACAAACGACTGTCCTCAATGTCGATCGAAAATGACTTGTACAATCCGTTGTCAAAGTTCATTTGGTTGTAGGTGTTCCGCTGAGGAACAGAACAGGTGTTGAGGGTGCTTTGACTTGCGCGCTCAACAGTGTTTAATTAGCGCGCGTCAAATCGAATCTTGTTGTTTTCTTCCTTTTTACGCTGATTTTCCCCACTTTGCCAGTTACCCATTTACAGTTTAGACATTTAAGTGCAGTCGCGGTTCTTAAAGATGTTGTTTCTCTGAATCTATTGAATCTGTCGGTGCTGTTGAATCTGAATCTGTTTATGACTGGTGAACTGCTTGATACTGTGGATTTTTAGGGTGAAAAGTTTTACGTTTATTTCTGTATCCGTCTAGTTCGATCCGAATAAGTTGTTACGTCATTTGACCTTGGCCCTACTTTACCAAATGTATATGTTAACCATATATATTTCTCTTTACAACGCCGTAACCAGATCTGTTGATTTAAACTGTTACTTAATGCTTTTCCTTTCCCTGATTTGATTCCTTTCAAAATTGAATAAAACACAATTATATCAATACTTGACTCCACATCTGCCTCCTGCCTCTCCAGTGGGGCAAGCTCCAGTCGACCTAGATTTTTACAAAGATACCAGTCGACGAAAGTTTAATGATATGAAAATGGAACGTGTTGCAGGGAAGACTCACAAGTGGAAAACATTACACCGAAAAATATGCACGTGCATTTTCAGCTGCATGCCCCTGAGATATGATTCTGTATAATGTGTTAAGCTGTCAAATCATAGTGTTCTATCTGCCTCAAGCAGAAGCACCCCCTCAATGGTTGAAAAGAGCCATTTTGGTCAGGAGTGTTAATGCTGTTGGTGGCGATTCCACCGCAACGCTTGCATTTCATAGTCGTCTGTCAGCCAGCAAAGTCCAGTCCCGAGCAAAGAAGCCTCCGCTGTGAAGAAAATTGCGCCCTTTCTTGGTTCAGCTCGAGGGGTCATTGTCATTGGTGAAAACCCCGTGCTTGATGTTTCATGCCTTCCTCGTTAGCCTCCCAGTCTTAGCCCTCGCACCTGTAGTGATTCATTATTTAGAGCGAGTATTTGACTCTGCAAATTGAAGTGGTCGTGCTATTTTTTCCCAGTGCCTCTCTCATGCATTTCATCTTTTTCAGATTGACACGGAGGAACCTTACGAACGGTCAGAGTCGCGGCGTGAAGAGCCTTCTTCATATGTGCTTGATCAGGATGCCGGAGAACAGAACCACGAAACAGCGCTTGATGGTGATCATGAGGAACAGGAAACAGTGGTGGAGGACTCCCAATCAGAGGAGCAGAGACTTCTTGAAATGGAACTCCAGAAACTGAAGGAGGAAGGCTTTTTGCCCATGGAGGACCCACCGGAGTATGACATCGCTGACAGGGTGCGGGAACTCAATGAGCAGCTGAAGGCCGAAGGTGAAACCCCGGAAAAAACAGACCGGAAGGTCAAATTCAGTGAAGAGGTCATTGCTGTTGAATTTCCCGAGGAGCTCTACGGCAACGAAGATGACAACGAGGGAGAGGCCAACCAGAATGGAATGGAGCAACCAGGTGATGCTAACGAGGGCGAAGGTGTTAGTGATGGTACATCAGACAGTGAGAGGACACAGGAACCACAGGTCACGGACCCAAATGACCTTGAGGTCGCCAAGCTGACCTTGGGGGAAGAAAAAGACCATGCTGAAATAGAGCCTAAGGAAATGCAGCAATACGATCAGAACAAGCCGAATGGTAACAGCCAGAGCCCGCGAGGTGAGGATGAAAAGATCCTGATTGAGAGGGACGGTAAATTTGAGCTCATCAGTGTCAGGGGCTTAACCCCCACCGAGAGACGATCAATGGGATTAGAACTGTCTCCTGTGCAGGATGAAACTGACCAATCCCGAGTGACGCCAGTCACCCCCAATGGTCATGGCGATGCTCCTGTTGAAGACCCCGTCCCCCAGGAGGTGGAAGTGGAGTCACCCCTCCAGCCAAGGCCACCCTCCAAGCCCCGCCCCTCCACTGCCACTGACAGCACGGGGCTGCGGCGCTCCCAGCTTCCGCCGCGGCGGATCCAGTCAGCGCGCACCCAGCGCGACTTGTCAGGGAGCCAGCAGGGGGCCTGGACGGTGGCCTACACCGGGCACAGCAAGTACGGGCTGACGCCGGAGCAGAAGGAGCACAAGCGGGAGCAGATGAGGCTGAGGATGCAGCAGCGGCAGGAGCTGCGGCAGGCCGAGGAAGAGGAACAGCGGAAGAAACGAGAAGAGGCTGAGAGTGCCTTTCAGGCGTGGCTTGAACACAAGAGGGAGGCGGAGAAAGAGAGGAAGAGACAGGAAAAGGAACAGAAGAAGAACAATGACGACAAGAAGGTAACGACATCCGAGGAGGCATTTAGGAAGGATGCAAAATCAAACGGCACAACTCGAGGTTTACTTTGAGGTTTTATGAGGTTTGACTTATAATTTTTGGAGTACCTCATGGTGAAACCTTGCGTAAGTGTACCTCCTTGTTAAGGTTTCCATTTTTCCGCTAGGACACAGCACTTATTCTTGTAATGACGACAGGTCTTGCATACGCCTTTATGCCTATCCCAAAATGTGGGCATGTTAACACTTGTTAGAAGTTTGGGGGGATAAATTTGGAGAATACTGACTTGTGTCTAGACTGAGACTATGTAGTGTGATCTTGAGCAAGATAATTTATTTTAAGTTGGTTCTTCACCCAGTAGTAGTGTCTGTCGGGGCAGAGATGGCTGCTGTAATGGTCAAATGCCGACATCACCCCGTGTACTCTTTGAGAGCTGGAATTCTTTAAGGAGTGTTTCATGGGTGCATTCATCAGGGGTATAGTGATGTGGTTTTATCTGCTTTTATGTATGCATTGGATTGCCGCGACGCTGCAATTTCACTGATGCAGAGAATTTTGTTACCCAAACAGAAATGCTCATTTTTCTTGCTTTTCAGGATCAGTCCAGTATCGACGACAACTTCCAGGCCTGGCTGCAGATGAAGCAGAGCCAGGCGAGACGGGAGCGCAAGCTCCGGAAACAGGCCGAGGAAGAGAAGAACAGTGGGTACTTTTTGCGGGACCGCAGAGAATGCGACCAGGCATTCAGACAGTAAGTTTCTGCTGTTATTATTTGGTTTCCTAGTTTGCCTTGTGGGTGCATTTCTTGGGTGCGATCAGTTGATCTGCACCATTAATGTTTGTCCTATCAGTTGCTATTACAAGGGTGTAATTTTTTTAGATTTTTCCAGATTTCAGGATGTTTAAACCCCCTCCAATTTCTATATTTTCAGAGGTTTAATCATTCAAACTTTTCCATATTTTTCGTTTAGTACAAACACTAGGTGCAAAGTGCTCAAATTCATAGCCATTGGGACTGAGAACTCCCGCAGGCATGAAAAGTCCTGAAAACTCATAATTTTAATTTGTAATTTTTACGACCCGTCTACTCAGCATTTTGTGAGTTCATCCTGGTTAGAAGCACGCCCTCACCGACAAGGAATAGACAGGCTATTGGGAAACATATCTAACTTGGTGTAGGCGCATGCACATTTCAACAGAAGTGGTTGCGTGTGTTTAGCACATCACTTACAAAATGTCCATTGACCGACAGTTTCTGGCACCAGAAGGATGTCATTCCTACATTCGTTAAACACCCCACCCATTGTTCCTCTGTGGAGTGGATTATTCAGTCACTCAGCATATTGTCCTTACTTTCATTGCAGGTGGGTCCGATCGAAGAATGAGCAGCTCAAGAAGGAGCGTCTCCTGAAGAGGTCCAACGCCACAGTCAGCCGGCAGCTGGCACGACAGTCCAGGAAGTCCAAAAACCTGGCCAAGGCTCTGGAGACGGCCCAGATCTACCGGTACACCGACTGGTATGGCTACCGGTTCTAGGCCCAGCTGTCACCTGTCTGTAGCCTCTGCAAGCCTTGTAGGCTTTGTGTAGCCTTTTGTAAGGAAGCCAGTGAAGAACGAGCCATGTCTGATTTCAGAACTGATTCACAGGGAAGCCATTTTTGTTCTTGTTTCCTGAATCCGTTTTGTAAATTGCAACCTGTTGATTGGGATGATGCCAGACTATTTTATTAGTGGCATCATTCTAAGCCTCCCTTTCAATATTTTTAAAAGAACTGGCTTAAAAAACTATTTATGTTCAATCATCGATTTGAAATTGTCCATCACAGTAGATAGGTACATGTACTAATTTGTCAAGATGTTTTACGTTATCGCTGCTTTTTCTTCTCTTAAGTCTCAAAAGTGAAGAGTTAACCTCGTTTTCAATTCCAATATGGCCGACTCACGAATGAACTTTGTAGCCTCTGCAAGGCAAGTAGACATGTGTCCTACCTGTGAGTGCCTAGGGAGGACACACCATTGTCCGAATGTTGTGGCTTGAAATAACATGCACACCTATAGAAGCCGCCTACAGTAGCTCATGGCTATTAACTTCCTATAAATGTGTGCTACTCCAAGCCGTAGCCAGTTGATTCAGACACACGTGGCATGTGTGTGCACAGTTGCCAGAGGACAAGCCGTTGTGTTTCTGTATTTTAACTCATGAACTGAGTGAATTTGCCCCAGGCATGGTATTATCCGCAGCCAAAAGTTGCAGACTTTTTTTTAAAAAGGCAAGATGCACATACCAAGCCACAGTCCTTTACAAAGTTGGAATTTACATGCCGACCCGTGGCGATTGTTTTCCCTAGCTTTTTCTTCAATACTGCAGTGCACAGCTGTGTACAGCCAGATTATATGCACAGCTTTGCAGGTGCTTTTGCAGGTGCCTCGTTCTCGAATCACCTTGCCTTTTTGAAATATCAAATTGGCACATAGTGGTTGTACGTGGCAGCCATTGTTTCAGTTAGTGCTTTTGGCATGGAGGATTGTGCACACAAGATGGCTGCTAGGCACAACCTCCGTTGGTCTCCACCCAGAAAGCAAAGGTGGATTACGACATCCTTGTGCAGCTGATAATTTTCAGAAACTGCTCATGTACATGTATAAAATTACACGTGTACCCATAGGGACAGATTGAGTGATATTGTTTTGTTTTGGTTTTTCATTGGGTGTGACTGTAGACACAACCCTGTGGCACAAACTAATCCAGCAGCATTGCACTGGATATTCCTGATGGCCCCCTGTAATGGTGGAAAGCACTGTGTCGAGCTTGGTATAGCGTCATGGAACAGTGGCTGTGCACAAGTGTCGCCATTGTTGGAAACAAAGTGGCCGTTTATGTGCCAGAGCACAGACATAGTTGGTATATGACACCTGCACGCTCTACTGTACACGTAATGAATGGCCATTTTGTTTCCAAAATCTGAAGCAGGTGCATATGTCTCTATATGCATGTACAGCTCTGCTCACCACCATTGAAGAGAGCCACTGCAAATGACCAACAGTAACATTTCTGTAATCGTCAGATTTGTCTGTATGTTTACTTTGGAAAGTGTGCTTCATGAACATTCAAATCAGTTTTTCATGTATCCTGACAAATAGTCAAGAACTACAGTAAACTTTCATCATAAAGAATGCTGGTACAAGAAAGTACAAGTAGAAAGAAAAGATTTCGAGAATCTCACTTTCTTGAATTCTTATGTTTTTCTTTGTTTTTCCATTCCTCTTGTAACAAAGTCCTGCTTATAACAAAGTAATCTGTCTAGTCCCTACAGCTTTGTTATAAAGAGAGTCAATTATATGTTGAAGCGTTTGGTTGTGGTGGGTTGGAAAGCAGAACCGTTTTGTTGTGTCAAGTGGGTGAATAGTTGGGGGCTGATAACATAAATGTCGCAAGGGGGGGAGGAATGAGAAAGAAGCAAAAGAAAAAGAAGGAAAAAGAAAGAGATATCAAAGGATGGAAATCAGATTTGATGGGAAAATACTCTTAAAATTGACTACCTCTCCCTGTTAGTGGTTTATCAGTTTGTAGCTAGTGACGGCTTTGCCGCTCTTCTGGAAATCCCCTCCCCTAAAAAAGTCCCCCCCCCACCACTGGAAAAATCCTGGTGTTACCCATTGCTGATAATGTTAATGGAAATGCACATTGTGTCCTTCACCATTTTTAACAGCTGTCGTCAAAGCATTCAGCAAGTTACGTAGGCATGTGAAATTTGGGGAACAGAAAAGATTTGGGCAAAAGGGGCAGATATGTCAGAGTCCAAACAATAAAAGGAAGGTTGTAGCTTGTGTTAGGGGAGAGTAAATTTTATTAGATACAATGTAATTCTTAGGATTAGAACAAGAGGTCACATTTTGAAGTTGTGTTTCTTGTAACTTTGACAAAATTGATGATTAAAAAAATATTTGGTGATAAAATTTCTCGTTAATTTAACCGTTGCTTTAAAGAGTGCTAAGCATGATTCCATTAGCCCAGACTGGATGATGCCAAACATTGCAACAAGTATTGATTCATCCTACCATACCGGTAATGAACTTTTTCATAGCGCGCTTTGTTCACAAATTTAGCCAATGGAACAAGCTAAAATTTTGTTCACATTTCTTATTTCGGGAATTATCTAAATACTTATATTTCCTGAAAACATGTCACCCAAAGACATGTTGACTTGTTCTCAATCTGGCATTTGGGTGTACAAAATTTCAGCTACCTCTGTCAGGTGAAAGTGCGTAAAAAAGTGCTGTGGCAGGATGCAATGACACCCTGGATGTTATTTCACACTGTAATGAAGATGTAGTCCAACCTTGGCTGACGGGACCAGTTACGTTTTGGCTGGCAACATTGGAGAGGCTGTGGTTTCCAACCTAAGTTGCCCAATTGATACATTTATTTTCTTGCTTTCTGTTTTATATTTTTGCAGAATTTTTCATTATGGTGACACTGTTGATTGATTGGATCTCCCAAGACACTCTTGCTCAAATCTTTGCCTTGGAACATGCATTTGTATGATTATTTTATATGTATCATGATTAATTAATGTTATTCAGTTTGTAATCATTTATATTGCAAAATTTTTGAGCAAAACTCAAATTCAGTATTTCAAGTTCAGTGTGCCTTTAGAATTTTAGCCATTTGTGCCAAACTAGTCATAACAAAATAATTAAAAGCTTTGTTCTTATTCCACTCAACCTTAAGCAACACTAAGTTGTACATGTTAACACGTACACGCAGTGTAATTCGTTTTGATTTTCACATATACATGTAATTCTTTTTATTTTATATTTATATTTTACTCCATCATTTTGTTCCCTTTGGTTTCTCAACACAGATAAATGTGTTATGTATTTTTCGTCATTAAAATTCTAGATGATTGACATGTTCTTGTTTCAGGGAAAACGTAATATTGAAGTGTCCAACCTTTGAAACTTTTCTCGCATACCCTAAGTGCAAAAGCCACAAAATAGTGCCCCCCTCCGAATCAAATGATGCTCCCTTCAACCTATTGTCTTCTCCAAGTACATGTTTTGAGATACTACATGGATATGTGAACCAATTATCACCTATCTTTTTTTTTAAACAAGCACAACTTTTTGTGTTATTTTTGCTTCGCTAGTTTTCTCAACTTGAAGTTCTCTTTAATCTATTTTTAATCCATACAGTTTTTCAAACGGTGGCTTCATCTTGGATGACTGCTGGTGCCTCGGGGCTTCATTTTCATAAGACCTTGGTTTGTAATCCTAAAGCTCGATGCAGCTAAAATTTACACCCAAAAAATCGTGTTCAATTGTCTTATGTGAGGCTAGGGTTGAAATAAGAATTTTTGTTTGGCAAATACATGGCAAATATTCGAGTATGGTTTTTTATGTCTATCCCCAAGGCGAACGAAGCCACCGTTTAGAAAACACCCTCTTTTCGTGAACAGCGCCCTCTCTGAGGAAAAAAGTTAATCTCGTCCCCAAAACCTTCGGCTCTCGATCTTTTGGATGGAGAGGGGAGCGCTCACGCCTAACGTTAACGTACGACGCGACGGGTACTGAACAAGGTTGACGCGCCATGTTTGCTGGTTTTCCGTCGGAGGAATAGAAGACTTGAACTCGAAGGAAAATTCTACATCGCTTTTAGCCAGGATCTTTAAAGTTTATTTGCGTCAGCTATGTCAGTTTATGATAAACTTTAGTCTCGGGAACAAAGCAGGTTTCTTTTAAAGTTTTCTTCACCAGCCGTTTTGTGGATAATTCACAGCAAAATGACGCAGTACTTACCACCGAATTTGTTGGCGTTGTTCGCCCCGCGTGATCCGCTTCGGTTCATGACGCCCATTGACAAACTCCGGCACGAGAAGAGAGATGACGGCTACTCAGGAATGGCTGAGTTTGTTCGCTTGTTTGAGGTAGGCATAAACAATAAGGATGCGTACTTTGGCAGACGGGGGATATTGAAACAAAAGCATGAAAAAGTAGATTCGCAAGTTTGAAATTGAAAATGAAAACGTTCTTTCTGTTCAGCTGTTTGTTTGTGATTGGCATAATGCTTTCGACAGTTCGAGTCAACTCGTACCTGGCACGACTCGTATGGGCAAGTCGTACCTCGAGTTAAGACCACTCGTACCTTCATTTTCACAATTCAGTTGTCTTGCTTTTCCTTTCAGCATGCTTAACATGTTTCGGATTTGACAAACATATCAGGGAAAAAATCTTCATAAATCTCCCGGAGTTATCTTTCCGTCTCGAGCGGCAGCATGATTTTTTGCATAGGCTTAGTGTCTGCCGTGTTCATTTGTGCGGTCAGTTTACGTGACGGATGTCGAACAACCCAACTGTTTACTTACTTGACTCAGGACAACTTGACCGTTGAGAGGTTGCGACACTGATCATGCCGATGCGGCACATGCACGGCACACCATCCATGGTACAAAGCCACTGGCTATGCCAGTGTGGGTCCGGAGACTGTAAATAATGTCTTCCATTCTTGGAGTTTTGGCTGTATCTGAAAAGATGTAAATTATTCTTTGTTTTCTTTTTTCCTTTATACAACTGTGATTGACTTATTTATATCAACATTAAAGTAGCTGGCACTGAGAGTTGCAGTTTTTCAAAAGTTTTTTGTAGATAATTATTTATAACATCAATATTGAAATCCACTGGTGAACATACATATATTGATCCAATTATCCAACTAATTATGTAATAACTTATTATTGAACTCATTTATTTGTTCATTCAGTGCTATATTCACCCACATTTGTTTTGGAGGATGGTTGCCTTCCTTTGGGGGGGGAGACTTTAGTTAACTCTAAATTCTTTTGTTGGGAGGGACTTGAATTTATTCTTATGGCTTTGGGAGAATGTTATTGGACTTGTTCATTTTGTGGGGGGTGATGGCTTTGAGTAACTTTGGGGGGAGGAAGTGAACTTAAGAAAACTTGTGATGTTTTCATTTCTTTTGGAAATGTTTCTGGTCTCCTTTTTCAAATTTTGTTTGGCGGGTCGGTTGCCTTCCTTATTAGAATTCTTTTTGGAGGGGGAGTTATAACTGACATTACTTTATAAACTTTGAAGTAAAATGAAAACATGACATCATTCCATCATCACGGTGGACAGCAAAAAATAAATCATATAAGAATAAATCAAGCTGCTGTATATTGATCAAAGGCAATAAGTGATAATGCAAAGTTCTGGCCAAAAATATTTTACAATAGACCCACTAATACAGAATTTCGAAAAATTTAGGCACACTGCTGTTCAATGCAACGGGGGAGAATCCAAATTTCACGCAACAACGGCCGGCCACGTTGACCAGCATCAGTTGCCTGACCGCATGCGCACATCCACTGACGTCTACGGATCTCACATTAACCCTCCTATGCTGAAGTCACTCAACACCTCAAAGAAGCACAGCTGTGTTGTGCACTGCACCAACAGTCCCTCACGGGAATATCAGATTGCACTTTTGTGATGCCCAACAACTGTGCTTCACTGTTTCATGTGCANTTCCATATAGAAAATACATGCTCACCAGTGACTGTGGTCATTTGTGCACATTTGTGCTGTAAAACCAGAGGAGGGTTAATGTCACCATACCGGCGTGTAGGGAAGACAGTGCAGCCAAAACGGCAAATTAGGTGACGAAGCATGACTAAGAAACCAAATTATTGTTCCAAATTGATTGCAATAGTAATACCTGTGACCTCTGAGCAAGCCCTGATGTCTGTGAAGGTACTAAATGTCTCGTACGCAAAGGTATGAGTTGTCTTTACTGGAGGTAGGAGTTGTCCAAGGTGCAACTCGGCAAAGATATGAGTTGGTACAATTACATGTATGTTGAGCTGATGGTACAGGTTGTTCATGGTACGAGTTGCATGTACTTGGATGCGGACAAAGATCACTGCCTGTCTGCATCCATGTGCGACCTCAACAGAAAGTGTTCACGGTGCGACAGTGCGTTCACGTGCTCTGGCACCCAACGGCTGTTGCTTGTCTTTCCTGCCCTTTAAGCATAAACAATGAGGAGCCCTGTGAAGGGTCAGTGTGACCCCCTCCCCCCGTGCACCACAGCCAACTGTCATTTCAACCAGTTAGTCCAGTCGTAGTTAAGAATTACACACATACGTGTACATATGGAAAGCGGTTGCAGCCAATTTCCATGTCTTGTGTATCGATCGCAGTTGTAGTCTACCATTTAGTCGTGGCACCTTTTTTAAAAATTAGCAAGTTTGGCCCGGTTTTTACTTTGTGGTACAAAGTACGAAGGTAGGTAAACTACCATACATAGAAGTCTTGGGGGGAATGGAGCAGCATTTCACCACAGAATCCCTTCCCTGTTGGTACCCTGTTAAATGCTATGCATAGCCTATGGCGAAAAAGGTAAGGTTCATGGGAGCGGTACGGACGTCGGACCCCACAGTTCTGGGAGTAAACAAATACCAGTATTTGTCATGTTCTGTGCTTGCATTGTCATCATAAATTCAGAAGATGGAATTCAGAACTGGGCCTTTTGCAACTTTTGACTTGCCCCTCCTCTTAAGCCCAATCAGCCAGTTCTCTAGAAAAAATATCTAGAGCTACAAATCTCAAAATGAAAGGGAAACATTCTGCAAGTATGGCAACCGACGTGACGGAATGTTTAATTTATTTTGAAATAAAAGGACAATACTAGTGCAGCTTTCTGGGCAAGGAATATAAATGATGGATTAAGTTAATAATGACTGAGAGCACAGTCTAATGCATAGACCTTGCAATGATGCCATTATGCTTTGTGCACTAGTGATTCCAGTTAAATGCCAGCTTCGTACAAAGAAACTGACTGATTTTTGAGAAAGTTATGCACACTTTATTTACCTTTTTTTGGTCTTTGAAAAGACAAGGGCCCAATTTCATGGCGCTTCTTACCGCAAGTGAAAAATCGGTGCTTACCGTAGCAGAAAATTCTGTGCTTACGGCGAACATGTTTCATGGGTTAGCGAGGAATTTTAGCTTGATCACATGTGTACACCCCGTAACTATGGATTCTGTGCTTGAAAGGTTAGCGCAGAATTTTTCTGCTAGCGGAGAATGGAGATCGTAAGTGCGAAATTCTGCTGTAAGTAGCGCCATGAAATTGGGCCCTGGTCATTTACATGTATAAGAAGGTAGCAGCAAAGGTGAACATGTTAAGTGCATGTGAGCTTGTTTACGGTTGCATTGATTAGGCTGGCCTCCCATGTGCATTTTACTGTTTGCCAGTGGTCCCTGGCGCGCTTCATGTTGGGCGTGTGCTGTTGGAATACTGGAATGGTCCCTTGTATCTTTCAGCGTCATCTCATTGTGTTAAATGTGCCGGTTTTGTTGTCAGGATCCCAAGGACACCCCACCGCCCACGCGGGTGGAAACCAGGGAGGAGAAGAAAGAGAGGAAGAGGAAGGAGAAACTGGAATCGCACCGACAGAGAGTGGAGGATGAGATCAGCAGCTGTAAGTGAAACGGCGCCCTGCTTTGAGAAGAGTCCTTGCAGAGAGTGGAGATTGTGCAGCCTGACCCAGAGCCATGTAGTGTGTACACTCATGTGGCAACAGTTGTGACAACTTCATTTTAGAGGCCATTTTGGTTCCAACATCCATGCAGTCATTTGAGAAATGATCAACTTCAGTCTAACGTTGACGAGGCACCTCATGCTGTTATTTTAGTGCAGCCCCATGCACAACAACGTACCATTTTGGAAACAAAATGGAGCCGTGTAGCATGCCATACACGACCTCTGGTCCCAACTGTCTATTCATGGCTCTCTCTCTCTCTCTCTCTGACTGTCGCTGAGAAACAATTCTGAAGGACACAAAAGGGCTTTTCCTAATCTCAGCTTCATTTTTGGTTTGGGTACAGTGTCATAAACCCTAACCCTCCTCAATCCTTCACCTGTTGGAGGACTGAGGAGTGTTAGGGTTAACTTGTTCCCGTCCCTCTGCCCCCCAATTTGAGACCAAAACTCTTCCATTCAGTACTCGAGAAAGATTTTATTGTTATTGTGTGGGATTCCAATGGTTGGAGAGATTTTGCTTGAATTTGAACAGCGAACTGATAGAAACAGTATAGATTCGGAAAAAAAAACATAACTGGCATGATACGACGGATGTGTCGGGACACTGGTTATGTACAGAGAATGCTTCAGCAGGCTGGGCTCTACAACTTGTCAACACACTCATGATGCCACAACAGAAAAATTTGAATTTGATCTTGTGCACCAGTTGTGAGTTCGCATGGCAAGGGACAATTTCTGTAGTCGTTCGGCCACTCTCTCATGATGCCTCAAATGTCGTTCACATTTTCTAGATCCACCCATTAACGTTCCCTTCTCAATGCAAATAAAAAGAAAAAACGTGTCTGTACGTGTACTATTGTAGGCCTACAGTCAGTAGGGAGAATTTAATATATTCAGCACATGCTATAAGTGTGGCACATAGACAGGTTTGTTAGGATTGTAATGTCACCTACTGTATGCTTTATGTTCTTTCCATGTCCAGGGGAGCCCACTGCTGGAGGTATTGGAGATCCCTTTAAGACATTATTTGTTGCTAGAATTGTAAGTTCTTCAAACCTGTCTTATTTTCCCCCTTTTTTCAAAATACTAATAGAAGTTGTTAGAAGGGTCATTCTATAAATTTTGGTGTCCAAAGTGTGACTTTTTCTGTCCCTGTTACCTCTGGCATGTATACCACCTGACAAGTTTGACAAGGGATGTATCACTGAAATTGATTTCAAACTATTATTATTTGTTTGGCAGGTAATTTGCAGTGCTTAGTCAGTCTTGGAAATGAAACAATGAGTTCTAAACATTAAAAATCAAATACCAGACAAAACAGGGACGGGGAAAAAGTGGATCCCAAATTTATAGAATGACCCATAATTTCATTCTGTTCAGTGATCCAAGTCCCCATTGTTTTGTACTTCAATGCATTCAGTCAAGCTTGGAGTTGAATAATAGTAGCTAGTCTCTACAGTCATTAGTCCCTAAAACTCTGATTAGCGGTTTTATTTTAATGTGACAGATCCCTCTTAAATCAAACTTCCAAAACGTTCTCAGCATTTGGCCGATGCGTGGTCGAACCTTTCAAAGAAGGTCGTACTGTGTTTTTGTTTGTTAGGAGTCATCCATTTTTGTCAGCATTTTCACAAACGTACTCTTTTTCCTGCCCCCGCCCCCCTCTTAAAGAGTACCAAATGAAATGATTTCTCTGTAGTGCCTGAAGACCCAAAGGTTGTTAATGTACAGTAGACGGCTAAAGAATAGTGGAAGGAGGAAAAACAATGTCCATGACAGGCCTCGACATTCATGGTTTTCCAATTGCCCGGGACAAATTCCTCTTTCAGTTCGGGCAAGTAATAATTAAGGACAAATTGCCCAATGAACAGGTACTTTTTCTTAAAATAAAAGTGTCCATTTTTTTGCGTCCAGGAATAGCTGTCAGAAAATGTACCTTTGATTTGATTTTTTCTCTTCACAAAAGCTTATAAAAAGTGGTAAGAAGTATACAGTTACATGTACAATGATCTTTTGCATCGTTACGTACATGTACAAACTTGCGTGTGTTAATGTACGCTGTGCATTTATAGCAGGGCACCTTTTCCACACAAGGAAGAATGCGTACGTAAATAAACTGTAAAATACACTTGTGTCTGGGTATCAGACCTCGTAGCACGCACGGCGTAGCGGAGCTTTGGGGTGCTTGAACACTTTCACTTGTGGCTGTGACTTCAACGTTAGTGAATTTTGCCTGGTACTTGTGTACATATGTACTTTTTATATGTGACACCAGGCAAAATCATTGAATGGTTAAGAAATAGCCATTGCCCGAACTTGTATGAATGATGCATCAGAGTCTTGCGACTCTCTGCCTAAGAGCGTATGCAACCAATTCACCCCCTCCCCCCCAGCGTACGCTTTGTACTCTCTTGAAAAAGATGACAAAAATGGATGACCCCTTACTCATTTTGACAAAAAATGATATAACTGCATTGTCTTTTTTTTTTTTTCTTCAGAACTATGACTCCTCAGAGTCAAAGCTTCGACGTGAGTTTGAATCCTACGGTCCTATCAAAATGGTATGTTAAGTTGTTTTCTAGTTCTCGATAAGACCGATGCCCTCAACTTTCTCTAAAAAGCTGAAAAAATATATATACAAACGTACGAAGGGCACACTCTCACTCTGTTGAAGTTTAGCTTTTGAGCTAAGGGAGTGTTCATTCTAGAGATGGCTGTGTCCAAAAGTTATGGCTGTGGCCGGAAATTACATATATACCTATGAAAGCCTCAGATTAGTGGCTGCAGCCTCTTCCAATAGACATGTGCTACTCCTGACCCTAGCCGGTTGTTTCGAACACAGTGTATTCATTATTGAAGCACCAGATATGTAGCGACCAAGGTAACTCAAATGGCAAAGCAGGTTGACAGTAGCCAGTGTAAGTGCCCATAGGCAAGGGACCAAGGGAATGAAGTTGCCAGATATTCAGAATCTGTAGTCTCGAAAAACAGTTGACTGCTTAGCAGCAGATTGAAATCACAAAAATGAGAGCCACATTGGTTGATTTTCCAGGTTTTCGTATGACAGAAAGCATATAGCTGCCCACAAAATACAGCACACACATGTATGTGACTTGGACGCTTGTGTTTTTGACAGCAGTGGCTGTCTTTGGTGAAGCTACATATATTTAATAACATTGATCGTCAATAACGCCCTCAGCTGCATTGCACAGACAGGGATAGATGCTCACATCCTGGCTTTTTCACAGGGTTTTGGCAGCCGATGCCACTCCCTGTAGTAAACACCAGGGACATCAAACATTGCCTCCTCATACTGTTCACTGCACGTCTGATGCGGTTAACAGCAAGGCTTGGTCAAAACATGCAGTGCTGCTTAATCCCTTCGAGCCGGGAGACGGCAAACGCTGTGGCTCTGTGGGAGGATTAGTGCATACCACACATACAGTACATTCTGTTCATCATGCACCTGCAGTTTCCATGTGGGCCCGCTGCTGGATAGGGGTTTGCATACTGGGCATACCGCAGTCCAGCAGTCACGGTCCAAAGAATCCCGCCGTTAAGGGGTTAAGGTTGGAAAGGGTAGTTTGAAATTTCTCCCCAGGCCTGTGTTTTGTATGGTGAGTTAAAGGAAACATGCGATGGGAGTTCCTCTCACCTTGTTTTTATAGCCATTGCTATGTGTTGCACCAATAGAAGCAGGGTCTAAAAATGTCTTTTCTTACAAATGATAAAAAGGGGCTACCAGCATTTTTTTTTAATTCTGACAAAAAGCTTTTCATCAAAACATTTTGGAGGGTGCTATTTTGCTTTTGTCTTGTTGAGGCAGAGTATGAAAATTTGTCTTTCGCAGTTACCCCATCAAAGTTTTGAAGATAGATTCGCCCTCACTGTTGCCCAAGCAAACCACATGCACCAACATGATAAACTTGTAAAAAGTGGAACTTACTCCAAGATTAATGCGGAAAAGTGTTTATAAACTTTGTACACCGAGCTATGGAGCCGCTACTGTTCTGCCTTGCATGACATCACACTTTTAAGCTCATGAATTTTGTTGGTGTAAAACCAAAATGTTGAAGTTTCACCCTTTTACTGCCAGGAAGGAGGAGGAAAGTCGTTTATTTTTGCAATACATACAAAACAGTACATGTATTCAAGTCATAAAAGTCCTGTTTTATGTTTCCTTTAACCTTTTCCAGGAAACCTCCGTGATACCTCCCAAAATCCTCCGTTGTTTAAGAAACCAACGTGGCATTCTTTGCACTGCACTGAACTGCTTCAGTGCACCTCTTGAGTGCACTTCTCTCAAGCACAAACAATGCACCCTCCTGGGCATTCGCTGGAAAATAAATCACATACTCTTGTGTCACATGTGTCATGCATGGGCTTGCCGCTGGTGTGTCTTGAACTTGCTTTCACCAGCAAACCAGTGTCAGTCCAAACAGCTGCTAACGTAACGGAATCTGTTAAATATCTGCACGTCCTTTCATGTGATGAAAACGTTCTGTCAAAAATTTTCTCACGTGTGGATATTTCCAATATGGTGATCTTTGTTGAAATATCAGGCTTTTTCTTCAGAAGTATTCTGATGGAAGTAGAAACCTAAGATAATAGAGTTATTTGTATCCCCTGTAGATCCACCTGGTTCACGACAAGAAGTCCGGTAAGCCGCGCGGTTACGCCTTCATCGAGTACGAGCACGAGAGAGACATGCACAGTGAGTACACAATGCCATAGTATGCTCAGAAATCACCTCCTCTCGAGCAAATTCCTGAAATGTGGAATGAATTGTGGAGTCCCTGAAAATGGCTGGAAAGTGTGGCCTTGGGGCTTGCGCTTATGACTCATGGGGGGGAAATCAGCTACTGGCTACATGCTGTGTCCCTGGGCTAGCCACTTTGCCTAGACTTGCCTGTCTGGATCAGTGAGATCAAAGGAATTTGCTGGCAAGTCATATACGATGGAGTCGCTTGCCTGTTGTCCATTGTGGGAAGGGAAGTGTTCTCTATTTTTTCAAGACGTGGATAGCCTTGATAAACACTTTTCCTGACGAGCGATGCTGGCCCCAGGACAGACTCGCATGTAGCTTGCAGCGGGGCCAACAGCCTTTGGAAATTTGCTCAATATACTGGGTGAATTTCAGACACAACCTTTGCAGTGGGCTCCAGGAATCATAGATAGGGACGTCAGTGTGAAAACCTGGATTACTGTCTGTTTCAATATCCCTCCGACACTGAATAATTTTTCAGTTTCTATATTGTTCGGTCTACACAGGTATCCATTCTGGAATGCACACAATGGATTTATTTCTCCCCGTCTGTTGCTCAAGGTTTCTCAAGTAATCCTGTTTGTGACATGTTGATACAAAGTGATAGCTGTTTTAAAATCGCACAAAAATTCATGGCATGTTAACTATCTCTCACAGCAGTCATGTCAGACTCGGAGTAGCCCTTCATAGTGACAGAGACTGTGTAACTTTTTTTAAAAAGTCAATTAAGGAATCAAACTGTTGATGACTTACTTGCCCCGCTTAAAATTACTTTAGTTGGTCCTCAGATAGTCGCAGGGAAATTTTCCATTGACAGACCAAGCATTTGATGATTGGTGAATGCAATGTAGGGGGAATGGCGTAACAGTGTTTTGGGCCCTTGGTGAACTCTGAAATTCTTCAGCCTTGTGGAACATTCAGGAGAGGCATTTGCATTGTTTTCCCCTGCCCCCCCCTGAGTTTGCTCCTCCCCTTTTAGAATCCTATGCCATTGCCCTCTAACCTCGAATTGGCCTTGCGCCCCCCCTGTATAGGGTCCAGTATTGCTGCAGTGAGCTGAAACTGTCAAATTTGGCACCTTGTCTTCGCTTTTTTCACACCACTGAAACGACCTCTTCAATGCCATTCAGTGACATCTGTAATGTACTGATGCTGAATTGAAGTTGTTCATACGTGTGCTGACTCTCACAACTGTGCTGTTTTTTGTGCTTATGGGAAAATGGCTGATTTATAAGGAAAAATAGTCCCGTCATGTACAGCTTCAGGGACTTTTCGATCCATTTGAATACTTGAATGAATACTTATCTTGAACTCGTTAGCTTTTATTCGACAAAGTTGCATTTGTACTCATAACCTACCAGCCTGACAGTGTAAAATGATCGAAAGATGCATCTCTCCGGCTCTTCGCACATTTTCAGTGTATGTTTGAGTGTTTCCTCCATATTACTGCAAAGGATGTAACATCTCCACGTAGAGTAGAATGTTCTGAGTTCCCAATTCAAATGAATGATTTGAAATTAATAACTGGCCTTAATTTAAAACTAGATTTTAAATGTCTTCCACCTTAGCATTAGTCCTTGGTTTTTAGAAGCTTTAACCACTTCGTGCCAGGGTACCTGGCTTCAGGCACTTAGGCTTTATACACGAAGCCAGGGAGCCCAAAACCGGACTGGTAAATAACAAAAGACCGTACTCGGAACAAAAGACCGTACTCGGAACAAAAGACCGAGCTTCTGGGAATGGCTAACATTATTTCAGTTGTCAATAGTGGAGGAAATCCGTCATTGTTTTGAAAGATTATACCACTGTTTGTGGCATTCAGCGTGAGCGGATTACTACCAGGGACAAAAGCTTCTAGTGATGAGCAATACAATACCGCTGCATGCTAATCTGGCCCCTATTGGAAAGACACCAGCTGTGTACACTGTGCCAGTTTTGGGAACAAAAGAAACTTATGTAACACCGCACAATCCAGGCTTTTTTTACCAGGCGGTAGGCCTGGTGAAACACTCAGGCAACAGTAGATATCTATCAGATAAGAGTAGCCGCCAGACATTCGTGTGGGTGTAAACGTCCAGTAAATGAAGTTATGATTTTGTGAAGAATTTTGAAAACGGAAAATCTTGAAAATCCCCCGGTTTTTACGTCATGCAACTTGAAATCACACCCTACAGCAAGTGGTTAATAACCAACATTTAAGGAAGTATTAACCGTTTCAGCTTTCTGACGACATTTGCAAAAGTTTGTTTCTGGGTTCAAATATCCACCAGGGCAACATTCCTAAATTTGATTGGGGGTTTACCCCCAAACTTCTGACAAAAAAGGCTGACTTGTCTGCAAGAAAAATCGGAACAACTTGACAGTTTCTGCCGTCCATTAGATCAACATTTCACACAAATCCACAGCAATAAACACGTTTACACTTTGTATACAAAGAGTGTTTCAATCTCCCAAAGTAACTTGTAAGAACCGTTGTAGAGTTGCGCATAAGTAAGAGCCGCGTGAACTTCGGAAGTTGTTGGTTGTGGTTAATTGTAGTGTATTGCTGTGGTAAGTACATGTGGGACCAGGTTTGTATGTTGCCTTTAAAAAAGTTTCGTTTTTGTGTTGATTTGTTAAAGGAATGTGGTATAAAACTGTACTTGATTTTGTAAATTCGTCATTCCATGGAGTATGCAAAAGTCTTTAATTTGTAAAAGTCCCTCAGTATCATTTCTGTGCTCATCTAAGAACAGGAAAGACTTGATAATCTCATACTGAAGTGTTGGGGAGGGGGAAATCCGCATGAGTTCATTCTTTGTGCCAAGTTTAGTCAGGTAGGACGGAGAGAAGCCCCCCATGACCCCAAAATGAGGCGTGGTCCCAGACCACAGGGATGAACAATATCAGGCCTACCGTTAATAATGCTTGGCCACCAGTGTAACCCATCGTTCAGCCTCAGTTACGCTCACTTGGAGTTACGGCAGCCTACAGTGTCATTCAGTTGTTGTACATCTGTAGAATGTTACTTGGTTTGTAGTCTTGCCTCAACTAGTCTAGCCCTAAGCCCACCATTGACCTGTTTATCTTTTTCTTGTCACCTTTCAATACAGCCACGCATTTAAAAGTGCGCTGAATCTTCTTCCCCCCTCACGTGGGCCTGCCATGTCTCATAAAGCCTCTGCCTAGCTGCCGTGGCTATTCAATACTGTATTTCACGGATTTGGTTTGTATCACATGGTAAGCGGTACACACACACACACACACGGCCTCCCCCCTCCCAAAGCCAAGCTGGCAAACACAGAAGGCCTGGAAACACTTGTGGTGGTTTCTGGAGTGATCCGTCGGCCAATTGGAAAGACCGAAACACATCAGAAAAAGTACATTTCCCATACACACATGACATCAGTCATCTAATGAAATCTAAACTTGTCAAACACAGAAGACCCTGAAAAGTACACCTAGCAGTTTTTTTAGGGGGGTCCCGGACATACAGGTACTTATTTTTCCAGATGGTTCGTTCTTGGGTGTCGTAATTCAGACACACATGGGGGCTTTTATGAGTAACACTCATGGGGCTTGATGCACAACATTCTGCTTGTGGTGCTTACTTGTAAAACGCAGAGTACACATCCCATTCCCCTTCAAAGGAAATTTTTATGGAAATTTTTTTTTGTTTAAAGTATGACATGTACATTTTACAGTTGTACTGTTTGCAAAGCTAAGCTCGCAACCAGAGTAGAGCAAAGTGAATGAAAACGAATAAACAAGACTAAAAACAAAACCAAAAAACCACACATCCATGACTGCATTATGGATTCCATGCTCAAGGGAACCCCCCCTCCTTCCTAAACAGTAACAGAAAGTGGCCACTGGGGTACCTTTGTCTCTGTGGCGTGATGTTGGGAAGCAGAGATTGCTTTGGCTTTGTGCGCATTCTGATGAAAATTGATGGTGCATAATTTATATCCATCCATTCGAAGTGCGCGCAACTCGGGTCATGCTTGAATGCAAGATTTGCATAGCACACTAGCTCCTGCATCGTAGAGTCCATTTCAACAAAAACTCCAAAAGTGACACAACCTCCCATCAGAAAATGAGAACTTTATATGGAATATCTTAGCCAACTGTTCGAAGAGTAGCAAGAAACAATCACACATTTAGATAAATCAAACAAATTAACTAAATGTGCAGGCCATACCAGGTGTCCAACTCATGTTCACATTTTGGTCATGGCCCTGGGTATTGTTTTAATCTATGTGAAAATTTGAATTTCCCTGTGGAAAAAAAATGGTTTTCTGCAGTTGGGAGTATCGTATTTCCTAATCTTTCAAAACAATGCTGCAGTTGTGCAGCGTACCTTGTTCCCATACATGTATTGGAATTCTTGGAAACACGTAAATGTACCGGGTCTGTGTTCGTTAAACAAAGAAATCTGAAAAAAAAATTCCAGCGATGTCACTGTTGACCGAAAGTTGAAATAAATTCTCACCAAACAAACGTGGTTGGATCCTGGTATGTGTCATGTTCCGGGTAAGTTACCCTGGGTCACCACCTCGTACCTGGAGTGGGGCTCCAACCTTGTACCCATCTCGAAGGCTTGGTGTGTGCTGTGATTTTGGTAAGGTTGGGTAAGGTGGCAGGTAATTTTTTTTCACTGTTTGAAAATGAAGTCTATTGACTTGAAATGTCTTAATAGACCTGGTTGACTAAGAAAGAAAGGAAAAATTAAATAGATGCCAAGAATTTAAAAAAAAAATCGTAATTCAAGATATTAAATTCAATGAACAGTCCAGTTAGCAGTACTCCAGATTTTCTGACGTTTCAAACTTAAACACGGCTAGTTGTTTCTTATGAAGACTTTTTCCCAGCATAATGAATTAAAAATGCACATCTACATGTATGTGGTACTTCTTAGTGGGAGGTATGGCAGGAAGGATTTATTTTTATTAGGATGTTTTGTGGAATTGTCTGTCTAATATGGGTTGGTAAGCCCATTGTGGAATTTCTGGTCGATAGTTGTAGGGAGACATTGTTTTGTTAACAGTTTTGTTGTTTTTTGATGGGTTGGTAAGCCCATTGTGGAATTTCTGGCCGATAGTTGTAGGGAGACGTTAATCTGTTAACAGTTTTGTTTTTTGATGGGTTGGTAAGCCCATTGTGGAATTTCTGGCCGATAGTTGTAGGGAGACGTTAATCTGTTAACAGTTTTGTTTTTTGATGGGTTGGTAAGCCCATGTTGAGTGGCAAAAATGATGAGAATGTTCCTGTTTGGTGGGTAAGAATGTTCCCTGGTATTGCAACTTCACTGGTTTCCGTGGCAGCACCTAAATGTGGTTCAGCGTAAGGTACGATATGCATGCTGTCTTTTTAAGAGCAAGTGTACATGTAAACTACGTGCAGTTAGAATTGGGCATCGTGTGCTCCTTTAAATGGTGGGAACTGTGAAGTGGGCAAGGTAAGCCAGTCACACGTGTGTTTGGTCCGTATCTGGAGGTAACATCGCAGTACCTGTGACTTGTAAGTTGTCCGGGATGGTAGACTTCGACGCAGCTTTCCTGAAAGGTGTAATTTTTCCCATCGTAGTTGACCCTTTTTAAACTCAGTGATGGGTTGGTAAGCCCATTTTATTGTGTCAGTGTGGAAATGTGGGAATAGTTTGGCAAGATGGTAAGCTGATGATCCATCGAGAACCATGAAGGAGTTGCGTCAGCTTGTTGCTAAGGTGATTTTTTTGAAAATGGTTTACGCAGATTGTTGAAAAATTGCAAACATTCAATAACCACAGGACCTAAATATGTATTTGGGGGTTGGTAAGCCCACTTGATACTGATGATGCCAGAATATATACGCTTTTATTCTAGGTGTTTTCATCGTTCAGTTTAAATCCTATTCAGGTTTGTTTTTACTCATCAAGTAAGAGTCCGGATTCTCAGTTCCTTTGTTGTGGCTGATCACTTCTCCCTTGCTTTAAAGAAATCAGCTTCTTATGACCGAATCCAGTGATGCAAAATTACCCTCCCGTTAACTTCTTCCAACACTTGGCAGTCCTATTTCTCTAGAAATCCACGACGTGGTTTTTTTTTTTTCCATTTCCAGCAACTTCACGTAATACGATCCCTGGTGCTTGATGCCAGTACAGTGTGTCATTGGGGTATATCAGGATGGAATGTTGGATGTTGGGGCCTCCTCCAGTGATCCGGGGGGGGAGGGGGCAAAAAACTTTCCGATATTTGATAATACTCCTTGCAACACAACCCAGATTCAGTGCTGGTGTATCACCTGGTCGGAGGAGGATTGTGATCAAGGAAAAGTTGCTGTTCTAGATGATGGACGTTCAGGTTCTGGCTAGATGCAACAGGAGCTAACAAGTACAAAAAAGACAGTCCAAACGTTTAGGTGGACTTGTTAACCAAACTTTCCCTCATATAGCATCGCTACGTGTAGTTTGTAAGTACCGGTATTTAAAGGGAACAATCAGGAAACATCGGTAGCCATCATCCAAACCTTTCCTTTCAAAGGATGCCGCCAGCTGAGGAAACGGCCGCCTTTGACTCACCACACACTGACCTCTGACCCCGCAGGTGATGTTGTGTTCGTACATGTGGCCGTATTTGCATGCTTCCTGCACTCGTTAGGGATGTTTGGCGAGCGCATGCCACGCTTTCTCACGCCGTTTCACTTTATTTGTTTCCCGCTAGGTGCTTACAAGTACGCAGACGGTAAGAAGATTGATGGGCGGCGAGTGTTGGTGGATGTCATGAGGGAGGGAACTGTCAAAGGATGGCTGCCTCGCAGACTAGGTCAGTAACATGTATAACAGTAACATGCATATTCATGATCAAGAGGCGAGTGCTTGCATTTAGCCATTTTTTTGTTCGCGTGCAAGCACAGGTGAAATAAACCTGCATGCTCAGCCCAATCTACTACACATTCGCTTAGGGCCGGCGACCATTTAGACCCGGTTTGAAAAGGGCCCCTCGGTAGCCCACCCTGTATAATGCCTGCCCGGTATTCAGGCTACTCCAGGCCGGTATCAGGTCTATCTGCACATCGGCATTTCAAAGTCCCTGATGAAAGGCTTCCCCC